CTCACTGTCGTAGCTTGGACACTTCTGAGCTTCTTGCTCCCAGGGTTCCCTGGGGCCCTTGTCCACACCGCTTTGGATCTGTGAACTAGTTGGGAAGATTCTAGCCCTGCCTCCCGTCTTGATCTGGGGTGGGGAGGGAAGCAGAAGTTACTTGCTGCCCTCCCCATCTTGACCTCCTGTCCAACCTAGGTGAGTGAATCTTCTCAAATTCTGTGGGAGGTGGGTGGAGAGGAAAGAGCCTCGAGTGAATCCTACCACTGTGTCTGTCAGAAGATTCGCTCACCTAGGTTGGACAGGAGGTCAAGATGAGGTGGGGGCGCAGCAAGTAACTTCTGCTTCCCTGCCCACCCCAGATCAAGACGGGAGGCAGGGCTAGAATCTTCCCAACTAGTTCACAGATCCAAAGCGGTGTGGACAAGGGCCCCAGGGAACCCTGGGAGCAAGAAGCTCAGAAGTGTCCAAGCTACGACAGTGAGACCGGGAGCTGATAGCAGGGCAGCCGTGGGATCTGCAGTATCACTTTGCAGGGCAGGGGCTCTTTCTACTCCGGGATGACGGAGCAAAACAAATGGATAGAAGGGTGACCTAGAGTCCCAAAGGTCCCATTCCCCAGGGTCCGGCCTTGGGCCTCCCTTGTTCCCTGATTTAGCAGCAGTCGTTGTTCTGTAAACCAGGGGTGATGCGTCCTGGGCGGGGGCTCTCGTCACCCGAGACCTAATGAGGAGGGAGAACAGTCACATCTCCGTGTGCCACAGCGAGAACACAGCTGAGGGAGTGGGAAGTGACTGCACAGGGACAGACGGGGCCACAGGCACATACGCAAGCCCAGCAACAGAATCAGAGGGCACTACGAGGCGGCCAGCCCTGGCGCATGGCGGCTGCTCCATTGAGCTCCCTCAGACTTCACCCCAGGGAAAAACCAACTGTGACTGAATTACAAAGCCAAAGGAACTCAGAAATCACCAAGCTGGGTGGCTGTTATTTTGAAGTATTTAATTTTAGCTATGTTTTCACTTTAGTAATAAGGTAAAGTGAAGTTTTTGCACACTTGATTTTGTGACTGTGAAGCTCATGTGTATGCAACCTTGCAACTACTAACTAACTACACCCTGATGGCTGGGTGTAGAGTGCCGTCCCAAACGGCTCCCGTGAGTGAGTTTCAGAGATGCCGCTGTCCGCTCTGCCTCCCCTCCCAGCTACCGCCTTAGTCATCAAAGCTGGTTTAGCCATCTGCTGTGCTGTTTGCAGACGCCACCCTGGTCCTCTGTTTCTTTTTCCCTTTTCTCACTTCTTGTCTTCATCTGCTGCTGCTTCTCCCCACCACTCCCAGGACTCCTCAGCTTTTCGGATCTTCCTATTTCTTCTCTCATTTCTTTTCACTCCTCTCCCACTCTCCATCTGTTCATCATTGGCTGTATTCATTTTTGCTGCTTGTGAGTGGTAGAGATGTTGTAGGCCTCCACGTCGTCTCAGGTGGGCCCCGAGGTGGTCTCTTAGGAGCCGGTCTGAGGACAGTTTTCACAGCCTGGGGCCACACACTGAGCTCTCCAGGGCCGGACCTCAAGCTCAGAAGCCACTGGTGATTTTTTTCTTCTGGATCAACTCACCCTCCCGCCACTCCCAATGTCCTGGAATGACTCTGGCCAGAGGAGGCTATCTGTGTGTTCTGTTTTCTATCAAAGACATCTAATGTGGATACAAATATGACTTGTGTTTTAGCAAACATTAAAAAACAGATGAAATTTCCATTAGGGAGTTTTCTAGGGCTTGGGAACCGTATCAACAGCTATGTGAGTGGCCTATTAGCGGCCTTTCCTTCAGGGTAACAAAAAAAAACTTAAAAGAATGGCCTGGAAAACCACCTGTGTTTAGAAAACACCCACAATGCCGGCTTTCTGGAGGCAGCAGCGTGAGCACCCTGCTTGGGGCTGTGCAAGAGGCTGGAGAGGGACACCGGAGAAAGGAGAAGCCTCTGGTCCCCCTGCTCTTCCTCAGGCTCCAACCTGCACATTGGGCAAGCTGTGCCTGAATGCCCGGCCACCAGGGCGCCACCCATCTTCTTCCCCAGTAAAGCCCTTCGTTACTGCTGCCTGGGTACTGTGCAGCCCGGGGTCTCACCCTGCAGCCCTCCAGCCAAACCCTGCCCCCGTTTTTGTAGGGCTGTGAGATAATAATGATACTGACATTTTTTAAATGGTTGGAAACAAAATCAAAGAATAGGTTGTGATGTGAAAGCACATGAAATTCAAATTTTAGTGGGCACACATAAAGCTTGGTTGAAACTTAGCCACCCCCATTATTCAACCCATCAGCAGTGACTGCTTCCCCCAACACAGGTCAGAAATGAATAGTTGAAGTAGACACTGTCGCTCCCACAGAGGCTCTTTGCAGAAAGTTTGTGAACACCTGTAGTACCTCACACATGTGAGGCTTAGACTGCATTATGTTTTAATTTTTAATTAGCTGCTAATTACAACAAATCGGGATAAGTCATTCTGGGTTTTAGCTAAGTAAATAAGGATGTCTCCCTCAGACAGGCACACACTCTGCTTGCCCCAGTCCTCGTCGCTTTCTCTTCCCTGCCCACAGCTGAGGTGGCAAGTTGGCCCCTACACCAGTGGCTCTCAGCTAGGGTGACTTCGCCCGTTAATCTCCAACTCACACACGGGAGACCTGGACATGGTTTTGGCTACTGCGATTAGGAGAGTGCTACTGACATCTAGTGGTTAGAGGCCAGCAGTGCTAAGCATGCTCCTGCAATGCCCAGAATGGCTCTGGCCAGTGAGAGTGACCCCCAAGGAGGCCCATAGTGTCAGCACTGTCACAGTTGTTGACTAATTTCTACCTTCAGGATCCATTGCATTCACGTTCCACAGATAAATCCAGTTCTTGCTTTAAATGCCAATTATTAATATCATTTTCAACCTGTGGTATAATCTCTGTGTGTCAATACATATTTTCACCTACTTGCAAGTCAGGTATTGAATTTGTTGTGTTCTCCCTTTCTTTTCATATACTTTTCATATATAACACTCGTGCATGAATGCAGAGCAGAGCATTTTGAATGGCCACACACATCTGCCCTGTGCTTGCTCACTGTGGTTTGCTAGGACATCCTGAGTTGATGATTGTTGTAAACATCTTCCTAATATAGAGAGTAATTGCAATATACATTTTTGTATAAAATTTTCTTTTTGCACTTTTCTCCTATCTCTTTGGGGGAGTTTCCAAAAGTGAATTGTGGGTCATGATTTTATGGGATATTGTCACTGGATAACTGCACCCCAGCAAAGGCTACGCTGGTATTATAAGATTATCAGACATTCAGGAATCTTTTGTCCTTTTCTGCTGATAATCAGCTGTTCACTGCTGCAAACTTGATTTTGTCTTGTTTTGTGTAAATGTTAATTATCAACAAGGCCTGTCTGCGATCCAAGTGTGCGGTGATGCTGGAGTCCTGCCTTCTTGTTGTGGGGTCCGGAAGGGTGGAGGGCAACAACAGATATTAGCGGAATTCCCTCTTTCCCTCTGCAAATGTGACTGGATACTGGGGCCTGAGAGAGCGTTTGCTCAGAAGTGCAGACAGCCCAGCCATGTTGGGAGAGCCCGGGAGCCACACTTGCCCTCCTTGCTGAGCTCCCTGCAGAGCAGCCCTGTGCTGGTGAGGGGTGTGCAGGAGGCGGTGAGGGGTGTGCAGGAGGCAGCGAGGGGCGGGACACAAGACAGGGAAGACTCTGCAGTCAGAGACCATGTCCGGTCTTGCAGCTCAAGGGAAATCAGATGCATGTGCTGCAGATTTCCTTTTTAGGAGTGGAATTCTCTTTTCCTGCTCAGACTTCAATATATGTGTGGGGTGAAAGGCCAGAAGGATGTCCTGAGGCCTAGACTATGAAACGTAAAAAGTGCAAGCCGGAAGGGGTGTGCAGAGCATTCTGAGTGATTGTAGCAACCAAGAAGCCTGAGCCTGTGAGCCAAGGGATTCCTCGGGTCGATCCCCTGATGGTATAATACACGGTGCGGGTCATGGAAGGGTGGGGGTGTAGCACTGAGGGTGGAAGCACGATCATGAGGATAGGACTGGCCCTTAAAATGCTTTATGATAAATGCATTTTATTTAACCTTTAGCTAGTAAAGCTGTCATACCATTTGGATGCAGCGCTATACTTTTTAACATTTTGCCTACTGAAGTGTTTAAACTGTCAATATGTCAGATCAAGGGAGTCTGGCGGTTAGAGACAGAGCCACAGGTGACCAGAACTCGCCAGGTGATGACCACCTTGGCAACAGCTGAGCTCTCTTCTCCCTGTTCCGTGAGCGCCCCCGGGACTCACCTCGCTGGCTCTAGAAGCAGGCGACGTG